GTCGTCGTCGTCGTTCCTTCTCTCGTTCTCTCCGTGGGTCGTCGTCTTCGTCTTCGTCGTTCTCGCCGTCGTCCTCGTTCTCGTTCTCGTCGTCGTCGTCCTCGTCGTCGTCGTCGTCGACGTTCTCGCCGTCGTCCTCTTTCTCGGTCTCGATCTCGTTCTCGATCGCGTTCTCGTTCCCGTTCTCGTTCTCTTAGATCGTCGTCGTCGTTCTCACCGTCGTTCTCGTTATCGTTCGTTGTTTTCGTCGTCGTCGTCGTCGTTCTCGTTCTCGTTCTCCTCGTGGTCGTCGTGGTCGTCGTCGTCGTCGTCGTCGTTGCTCTCGCCGTCGTTCTCGTTCTCGTTCTCCTCGTCGCCATTCTCGTCGTCGTCGACGTCGAAGTTGTCGTCGTCGTCGTTCTCGTCGTCGTTGTCGTCGTCATCGTCGAGGTTCTCGTCGTCGTCGTCGGCGTCGTCCGCGTCGTCGTCGTCCACGTCTTCATCGTCGTCGTGGTCAACGTCGTCGTCATTCTCCTCGTCGTCGTCATCGCCGTCGTCCTTCTCGTTCGCGTTCTCGTTCTCGGCGTTCTTGTTCTCGTTCGTCGTCGTCGCCGTCGTCGTTCTCGCCGTCGTTCCCGTTCGCGAGGATCGTCGTCGTCGTCAGCGTCGTCGTTCCCGCCGTCGTTCTCGTTCTCGGTCGTCGTCATCACCTTTCTCGCCGTCCTTCTCGTTCTGGTTCTCGTTCTCTTCATCGTCGTCGTCGCAACGTCGACGTCTCCTCGTCGTCGTCGTGATCGTCGTCTTCATTGTCGTCGTCGTCGTCATCATCGTTGTTCTCCTCGTCGTCGTCGTCGTCCGCGTCGTCGTCGTCGACGTCGTCACCGTCGTCTTCCGCGTCGTCGACGTCCGCGTCTTCGTCGTCGGGGGTCTCGTCGTCGTCGTATTCGTCCGTCGTCGTCGTCATCATCGTCGTCGTTCTCGTCGTCGTTGTCGTCCTCGTTCTCGTAGTCGTTCTCGTACTCGGTCGTCGTCTTCGTCGCCGTCGTCGTCGGCGTTCTCGTTCTCGTTCTCGTCGTAGTCGTCGTCGTCGGTCTCGTTCTCGTTCTCCTCGTCGTCGTCATCGTCGCTGGCATCGTCGTCCATCGTCGTCGTCGTCGTTATCGTCGTCGTTCTCGTCGTCGTCAGCGTCGTCGTTCTCACCGTCGTTCTCGTTCACGCTCTCGTTCTCCTTCGTCGTCGTCATCATCGTCGTCGTCGTTCTTGCCGTCGTTCCCGTTCTTGAGAATCGACAAGCCGTCCACAGCGAAACTGGACAACGTCGTAGTTCAGTCGAAGGGAAGCCCCTTCCCTTTGATCCCTTCCCCGCGCGGGGGGGAGGGTCCCGGGGGGGGTCCTGGGGGGGTCCTGGGGGGGTCCCGGGGGGGGTCCCGGGGGGGTCCCGGGGGGATTCGCCACCCAGATTCGTTTTCCTCCTGGGGAGTACGAAGGCCAAGAAAAGCCCCAAGACGGGCCAAGAGCGCCCCAAGACATCCTCAAGACGGTACAAGAGCGCCATGCATCGACGAACGATCGCCCCAAGACGTTCAAGACTGCTCAAAAACGGACCAAGAGGCCCCCAAGAAGCTCCAAGAGAGCGCCAAGAGCACTCCCAAGAGGGCCCCAGGAGCCAAAATCGTAAATTTTGCCTTTTTGAATGATTTCAGCCTTCTCGCCTTTTCGGCTTTCCGACGGTCCAATACGGCCCAAGAGGAACGCAGGACGGCCCAAGAGGCGCCTAAGACAGCCCAAGAGGGCCCCAAGACGGGCCCAAGACAGTGCCCAGAAGGGGACGAGGAACCGAGAATTCTAGACTTCCGCCCCATGAGGCACCCAGGAAGCCCCAAGAGGCCTCCAAGAGGCTCCAAGAGCGCTCAAGCGGCCCCAAGAGGCCCCAAGAAGCTTCCGAGAAGCCCCCGGGAAGCCCCAAGAGGCCCCCAAACTGCTCCCCAGAGGTTCCCGAGAGCGCTCCGAAGAGACCCACGTCAGCGTCGTCGTCCTCGCCGCATCCTTCCCCTCCTCCTCCTCCTCCTGCTACTCCTCCTGCCCCACCTCCGGAGCCTCCTCCAACTGCTCATTCCTCCTCCTGCTCGTCCCCCGCGTCCTCCTGCTGCTGCCCCACCTCGCCCACCGCCTCCTCTTCCTCCTTCGGTTCATCCTTCTGCTCATCCTGCTTGTCCTCCTGCTCCTCCTCCTCCTCCTCCCTCGTCTTCGTCGTCGTCGTCGTCGATCAGGGTCGGCGGCACCGGCCGTCAGGCCTCTCCAATACGACTGGTGGAGGGACGAGCAAGGAGGGATCGGGGAGGGGAGGCAGCGCCGAAGGCACTCCCAGGATGCCGACCCCCAGTGGCCCTGGCGCGCGTGGAGACGCAGCAGAGTCCGGGCCGAGCGCCCTGGGGAGTGGAGCCCGAGGCGGCCTCGCCGACAAGAGTAATACACAATGCTCCTTCCCGCTCGCCCCGCTTCCCTCCCGTCGAGTCCCTTCTCACCGCTGTCCTGCCTCCCGCTCCTCCTCTGCATCATACCATACTCCCTTGTCTTCCTCGCTCCCGCCCGCACAGCGTGGTCCTGGATTGTCGATGCTGCCCTCCTCCATCGAATTCGAGTCCAGCGCGTAGAAGGCGCGGTGCTCCATGTACTTCCGCAGGAAGAACTCCGTCAGAAACGACCGCCAGTCACGCGCCAGTACCCTCCGCACGTACGAGTAGCTGCCGATGATCGGAACGGCGAGCACGAGCACCCCGGCGAACACCCCGAGCTGCGCGTAGAACTGCGCGGCGTCCTTTCGAAGCAGGGGGACGGGAGTTGAGACGACGGCAGCTCAAAATCGGTCCCCGGACCCCTCCTGGGGTCCAAATCGGGGGTAAGAACGCACCAGATGTCCGAGCTGCGTCCAGCAGTGGCGACGAGGGCCCCGCCCGAAGGCCAACTACACGTCGGTCGGAAGAAGTAGGTAGAAACATGAAGTAGGAGGGCGGATATAGTGGATTGGGTCAAGGTCCTCCCAGAGAAAAACAAAACACAGCAGAAGCATGTCGATTCTTGGAGTAGGACGGCGCTTGACGTAGCTTGGGATCTGGGAACCCAAAAATACCTGCTTTCAACGACCGGCGTGTACCGCTGCCTCAACTCGCCCTCCTCTGATCCTTTGCGACGAGGACGTTGTCGATGACGCGGAACACGTAGCTGAGCAGCACGTTGAGGCCCGTCACGCAGAACAGCAGGAAGAGCAGCAGGGCCAGCAGCCCCCACTGCTTCCCTTGCCCCGCCAGCTCCCCGCGCGAGGGCCAGGCCTGCAGGGACAGCACACGCTGGCCACGACCAAGACTGAACGCGGAAACGTCGGTGCTCGTCGGTCGGAGGAAGTAGGTAAAAAATATGAGGTAAGAAGGCGGACAGAGAAGTAGATTGGGTTCAGGCCCTCCCAGGGAATGACAAAACACAACAAAAACACATCGATTATTGGAGTAGGAAGGCGCTGCAAATAGATGGGGATCTGGAAATCCGGAAATCCTACTTCCAACGACCGGCGTGTACGGATCTTGGTCTTCGTCCATCTCGGGTCTGGTCAGACCACAGGAAGAGACGAATGAGCTCACACATCCGATTTCCCTGGAGCCTCCAGGCGCTGAAGGCGCCAGTGAACCGAGGAAAGCGCCAGGCGCTGGAGCCGAAACCAGCTGAGATACGAAACAAATGCACGACGCCGTGACAAAACGTGACCAGAGCCCCATCGCGCTTCGCCCCCCGAGGGCCAGCGCCGCGGCGGCTGCCAGGCCGGCGGCGCCAGCGCCGAGGGGCAGCGGGGCGGACAGGCCTTTTGGGGAGGAGGAGGAGGAGGAGGAGGAGGAGGAGGAGGAGGAGGAGGAGAGGAGGAGGAGGAGGAGGAGGGAGGAGGAGGAGGAGAGGAGGAGAGAGGAGGAGGAGGAGGAGGAGGAGGAGGAGGGGAGGAGGGGGGATGGGGGGGGGGGGGGGGGGCGAAAACCTGAGATCCCAGGTCGCCTACCTTCGCGCATCGCGCGCCGCGGTGCACGGCGCGCGGCGATCCTCGCGCCCTGGCGCCGCCGCCCTGGAGGAGGGCGCCTTCTTTCCAGCCCGAGCCGCGGTGCGCGGCGCGCGGTTCTCTTCGCGCCCCCGGGGGGGGGGGGGACCTGGGAGATCCTGTCGGCGACTCCGAAGAGTGCGGTTTGCAAAGGGTGTGGTTTGCAACCGGCACCCTGAGGGGCACCCTGGGGGGCGGGCGAGGACCTCGACAGAGCTCTCCGCCGCGCCCCGAGGAGGCCCGACGAGGACAGTGTCGTGCCCCCCAGGCCCCGACGGTGCCGATCGCAAACCACAGCCAGAGCCGCGATGCGCGGAGCGCGGTTCTCGTCGCGCCCCTGCTGGCCATCGCTCGGACGTCCATTTCCTGTGTTTTTTTTTCGGTTTCGTGCGTGGTTTTTTCGCCAAATGATCGAGGATGCTCCTCGATGGTCCTCGCCGAAGGGAAAATGCACACGTCCGAGCGATGCCAGGCCTGGTGGGGGGGGACCTGGGAGAACCTGGCGCCTCGACTTTTTCTTTTGAGCCGGGCGAGTTCGCCCGATTCCTGGCCGCGGGGCCCTCGGAGGTCCACGCGGCTCGAGAAATGCAGCGGACATGATGGGGTTCAGGACTCTGGTCGTGTTTTTTCTACGATGTTGATGAACCTGTTTTCCACCACCACCACCACCACCACCACCACCACCAACACCACCACCACCACCACCATAAGTTGGAGGGGGGAACGAGGAGGAGGGTGAGGAGGAGGGCGAGGAGGAGGAGGAGGAGGAGGAGGAGGAGCAGGAGGAGGACCCCCTACCCCTTCAACTTATGGTGGTGGTGGTGGAAAGCAGGCCCATCAGATGTGCTTCTTCGCGCCGTCGGATCCCAGGGAAGCAAGCCTTACCAGCGCCACGCCGCTGCGGGGGGGGGCCCGTCAGCGTGCCACTCCCCCTGAGAGCCAGGCGCCGCCACAGCCTGCCGGCGCGCTTCGCTCGCGACGCGAAGCGCGCCTGGTGGTGGCGGCGTGCCGTGGAAGGGGCGATCGGCGGTGCCTCCGAGCCCCTGCTCACGCGCCCCCGACGCCACGAGGGGCCCGAGCGGCGGCAGGGATGAGAGCGTCGGGCCTCCGGAGAGGGGGCCGCATGCGAACCCTACCCCACCCTCCCCCTCAGCAGTCGTGGGGGGCAGGGGAAGGGCTCGCGTGCGGCCCCCTATCCGGAGGCCACGCTCGCTCATATCCTGCCGCCCCCTGGCGCCCAGGGCGGGGGGGGCCGCCGCGCAGGGGCACGGGTCGCACGCCGATCGCCGGGCGGGCGCGCGCTTCCTGCCCCCCGAGGTGCCCGCCAGCGTGGCGCCGGTCTCGGGCGACAGCAGCGAGGGGGCGACCCGCTGCACCGCGGAGCCCAGGCCGAGGCCCAGCCAGAAGGTGCCTGAGAGGCAGCGACAGGGGGGCCAGCTCTCAGCGGGCCCCAGAGAGAGCGCTCTGATTCCCCAATCAGAGCTTGCCTCTGTAGGGGTCCTAGCGGATTAAAGGTTTTGATAGATGAGGTGGGTCGCCGCTTTCGGTGGCCGGGCCCGGGTGCCCGGGTGCCCAGGTGCCCGGCGGTGCCCGGGTGGCCGGTGAGGTTGGTCGCCGATTTCGGTGGCCGGGCCCGGGTGCCCGGGTGCCCGGGTGCCCGGGTGCCCGGGGTGCCCGGGGTGCCCAATAGCCCAATAGCATATAGCCCAATAGCCCAATAGCCCTATAGCCCTATAGCCCTATAGCCCTATAGTTTTATAGCCCCATCGCCCTATAGCCCTATAGCCCAATAGCCCTCAGGAACTAAGCAGGAAAGCTTAATGTTTGGGAAGAAAGCTTTATAGGAACTAGGCAAGAATAAAACTGGAAAGGCGAGCGTCCGGGAAGAACTGAACAAAAATTCGGCAGGAAACCTGCCATTCCAGAGGAGTCACTGCAGGAATCCATCAGGAATTCGGCAGGAGAACCACGCGCTCGGCAGGAAGCTGGCAGGAATTAGGCAGGAAAGAACTAGGAAAACCACGCGTTCAGGAGGAATTCGCCCGGATCTAGACATGAAAGCCCAGCGTTCGGGAGGAATCAGGCAGGAATTAAGCAGGAAAGTCTAGCGCTCGGAATTACATAGGGATGAGCCAGACATTCGGCAGGAAACTTACATTCAGAAGGAATCAGGCAGGAATCGCGCAGGAAAACCTAGCGTTCCACAGGAATCAGGCAATAAGAATTCACCAGGAAAACCGAGCGTTCGGAGGCATCAGGCAGGCATTCGGCAGGAAAGCCAAAGGTTCGGGCGGATTCAAGCAGGAATCAAACAAGAAAACAAAGCATTCGGGAGGAATTCGACCGGAATTCGGCAGGAAAACAAACAGGAAAGACGAGCGCTCGGCAGGATTCAAACAGGAATTAGACAGGAAAACAAAGCTTTCGGCAGGAATCGGGCAGGATTTCGGCAGGAATGCCTAGCGCTGAGAAACATTTAAGCAGGAATGAAACAGGAATCGGGCAGGAAAGCCGCGCATTCGGGAGGAACTGACTGGAATGAGGCAGGAAAGCCAAACGTTCGGGAGGAATCAAGCAACAATTAAACAGGAATTTGGCAGGATAAGCAAGCGGGGGATAGAGCAGGAATAAAAAACGAAACGTCGCGTTCCGGAGAAACGGTCTGGGCAGGAATCGCGCAGGAAAGCGACCACGAATTTCCCGGAGGCATCCCCCAACGCTGTTTCCCCCGCTTCCCCGAATCCAGCCTGCGCCCTCCCTCCCTTCCTCCTCCTCCTCCCCCGTCCCCTCCCCATCCCGTTCCCTTCCCCCCGTGCTTCTCCCCATCTCCGTGCCCATTCCCCCCTCCCCCTCCCTCTCTCTCCCCCCCCTCCCTCCTACGGGCGCCTCCCTCTTTCCCAGCCCACTCCGACCCCTGTCCCTCTCCCATCCCCCATCGCCTTCTCTCGACCCTTCCCCCCCCCTTCTACACATACAACGAGGAGGCCAAGAAACCAACAGAAACGACGCCGGAACTTGGCGGGGAGACCGCTGCCCCCTCCCTGCTCCGGCCCGCGCCCCCCGACCGCCCCCCCCCCTCCTCCCTCCGTTGCCTCCATCCTCCCCCCCCCCCCCTCCCCCTCCTCCCTCCACCCTTCCTCCTCCCGCCCTCCGCCTGCCTTCCCCCTATATCCGTCCTCCCCCCGCCCCTCGCGTTCTCGTCACCGCCACCGCGCTGCGCTCGGCGCCCGCCGTGCCGAACGGCGCGCGCACTCCACGGCGGGCTCACGGCAGGCCCGGTGCGGCACGGCCCGCGCGCACGGCGCCCCTTATGTCCGGCCTCCCCCCGCCCGTCGCGTCCTCGTCACCGCCGTCGCGCTGCGCTCGGCGCCCGCCGCGCCGAACGCGCGCGGGCACTCCGAGGCGGGCTCGCGGCAGGCCCGCGTGCGGCACGGCCCGCGCCGCGCACGGCGCACGCACGCAATGTGTGTGCCGCCGGGGGCTCTTTCGGCTGGTCTCCACGTGCGGGGAGCCACTACTCTTGAGTCGGGCCTGTCCCCCTGCAGGGGGATCTTCGACGAATATATATATATATATATATATATATATATATATATCTATATAGACATATATATATATAAACTCGAAGGATACGCCAAAGTGGTCAAAAACTAATGTTAAAAAAAAAAAAAACAATCCCCAGACGATTTCTGGACTATTTTGGAACATCCCCCTGTAGAGGGACAGGCCCGACTTAACACTACTTGCAGCGTGGCTCGCGAATTTCGTGCTCTTGCCCCCAGAGCGCGTCGCCGCGAGTACAGATCGGTCCAGGTCGGGCTGGATGCTCCTGGGAAGTCGTCGCGCGGGGTGCGACCGTCGGAAGATGTACTTGTTTTCCACGGTCGGGGAAAGTGGAACAGTTGCATCCGGCTGGCAGGGATGGGGGAGGGAGGGAGGGGGGAGGAGAAAGGAGGGAGGGGGCCAGGGGGGAGGGAGGCGCGGCGGAGGGAGGAGGGGCATGGGGGACAGGAAAGGGGAGAGAAGGAGGGAAGAAAGACGAGTGATTGGGGAGCAGGGGAGGAGGAAGGAGGGGCAGGGCGGAGGGAAAAGGGGCTCTCTCTCCCTTTGTCCCGATATGTCTTCGCCATTTACTCGCAGACGAGGTCCTCGCCCGAAGCATCCTCGCGATGTGCTCATGGGCGGAGCTCCCGCGCCAGCTGTCCTCACTATTCAAACGGCCAGGTGACAAACGCCTTGTGTTTTTCAACGTTGGGGATGGCCGCCTCGAAGAAAAACCGCAAAGTGGGAGCCCGCCAGGGCAAGACCCTCGGGAAGTTTTTGCACTCCTCGCATATGAAGCCCCCGCTCGAGACATCCTCGCTGTCTGCTCATGGACCAAGTGCCCGCTCGGAACTTCCTGAAGACTCAGACGGCCAAGTGCCATCTTTCGGATTCTAAACTCAACGTCCCCCTCTTCACCCCGCCTCTTCCTTTACATCCTTCC